CCAACTTCTAACCAAAGGACCCCAATGCGAGGAGGAGGAGGAGGAGGAGGAGGAGGAGGAGGAGGGTGGCTGACCATTTCAGCCATCCCTCCAGGTGGCCAGAAGGAAGACAGGACAGTCAGGGAAAGGAGCCTCCACTACTTTGACCTCCTTAGGGGCTTACATGTCAAGCTGGGTTGGAGATGAGGGTGGGGGGAGAAAGGCAGAGGAGAGCAGCCTAGGAGAACCAGAAAAGAAAGGGGATACTCTTTAGAAACCAGAATTTGAGCTACTACCCCCAAACAGCAGTGGCAAAGGCAAACGAAGCAGATCGACAGGCAGCTACTGGAAGGGTCTAGAGACATAGAGGAAAGGAGCCAGCCCAGCCCCCCACTCCTGCGCATTTTTTTTTGTAAGGATCCAATGCCCTTTCTTTCTTTTTGGATGCAAATTCGACTTTGGGTCCCCCCCCCGCAAGTTATTGGGGGGGGGCAAAGTGGCGGGGGAAGGATTAATTCTAGGGTGCAAATAGTCCAGGTCAGATCCAGGGGCCAACGCACGTACGCACACACTTCCACGCGCAGGCAGACACACGCATGCAGGCAGACACGGTCTCCACAGGCAGCAGGCACTGCGCTTTGGTGCCCCCCTCTAGCGAGGGAGAAGAAAGAGGGGACGCTCAGGAGGAAGGAAGGGCGCCTTTTGGGAGGGGAGGGCAAGGGCGTCCGGGGGCTGAAATAATCCAAGGGGGGACGCCCCGTATCCAACCCTGCGCCCCTCATTTACACGTCTCAGCCAGATCCAAACCCAGCCCGACACCTCCGCCCCTTCCCCCCCTCCGGCAGTCCTTCCGAGGAGGAAGTGGCGCAGCCGCCGCTCCCCGCAAAACTCCTTTCTGAGCCCGCTTAGGATCAAGACGATCCGCGCGGAAAGTTGAAGCCTCCCTTCCCACCAGCCAGCAGCTCGCCGGTGGGGACAGGGAAGCGGAGGGCGCCGAGGGCAGCCCACCCCCACTTCAAACGGGAGCCCGAGCAGGCCTGGGCCAGGAGCCGCTCCTGCTGCGCGGCTTTTGCGCGAGGTCGCAACCAAAGGCAGCCTGGCTCGGGAGGCACTGGGAGTCGTTGGGGCGGCGGGGGCAGCAGCGTCACGCGCAGGTGGTGACCACGGGCGCCAGCCCAGAGACCGCAGGTGAGCCGGAGGGCCCCCCGAGGCCGGGCCCCACGGAGCTGGCAGCGGACCCCTTGTCGGCCTTCTTCTCCTTCTGCTTGAGGTGGATCTTGGCGTGCCGCTTGCGCTCGTCGCTCCGCGCGAACTTGCGCCCGCAGAACTCGCAGGCGAAGGGCTTCTCGCCGGTGTGGGTGCGGATGTGGGTGGTGAGGTGGTCGCTGCGGCTGAAGCTGCGCATGCAGATGCGGCACTGGAAGGGCTTGTGGCCCGTGTGGATGCGCAGGTGNAAGGTTGAGAAACACTGATTTAGAGCTTGCAGACAAATACAAAACAGCCTGAGTGAAACCCTACCTGTCATATGAATGGAAGAAGGCCTGGATGGGGAAGAAGATGTAAAATGGGAGGAGAAAAACGGGAGGCTTATGAAAAAGCCAACTGAAGGCAGTGCTCTAAGAGAGAGAGAGAGAAAACCTTTAGCTAAGAGTGGTTGGAGCAGTGAAGAAATCCTTCGCCCTGAAGTTCCAGCTCAGCTTAAGTGTAGGTGTTACATAAACAGACGAGCTGAGAGTAAACAGCTGAAACTGAGGGCTGAGACAGATAGGGAAGAGAGAAGGATAAACGGCAGGAAGGTGGGGCAGGTGAGAGTTCCATCAGTTACGAAGTCAGGTGACAGATCTGAAATTTGAATGTTGCACATCCATGATGAAACTGGCCTTGAGGGAGAAGGCGGGGGAGCTGAAATGCAACCGGTTTACACTTGGGGATTGGCAAAGAGGAAACTGGTGATACTGACACATGATATTCGGGAAGAAAGAAAAATAAAAGCAGGACTTGTGATCCCACTTGTCCCGTCAAGAAGTCCAAGAGGAGGCTTTTAAAGAAAGTATTTTTTTAAAAAAGTGAAACTGAATGTAAGAAGTTCTGATTCTGGGAATAAAAAACATAATTCAAATCTAGCTGTACTGGGTAGATCATCAGACTATATTCTTTTGAACTCCCCACCTAAAAGTAAGGAGAATTAAAGTCTGCTGTGGGCAGGCTGGTCTACCTTGTTCATTGCCCTTGCTGATGGGGGATTTAGAAGATTTGATGCCCAACTTTCTGGCTCAGGAATTCTGGGAGCTGGAGTCCACAGGTCATAAATACTTTTAAAGAAAAGAATTTTCTAATGAAACTGAATGTAAGAAATTCTGATTTTGGGAATAAAAAACGTAATTCAGATTTAGCTGTACTGGGTAGATCAAACTATATACTTTTGATATCAAGAGGACATAGGCAGATTTAATCTCTACAAGCAAGTTAATACCTTCTTCTTCTTCTTTTTAAATAGCCCTTATAAGAAAAGGAGACAATGAAAGTTGCAACTAGCTACCAACTGTACAGGGCTTACATTTCTCCTGAAATCTGTATGCTTCTTGATGGCATCGTAGGAGACGATGTTGCACAATTATAGGGACCATGATGATCTCCATGGTTCAAAATAATAAAAATGAAAATAAAGTCTTTTCGAAATGGATCAATAGGTCCACTATTTTTTAAAAAATGGGTTGGTTTTTTTGTTCTCAGTAGATTTCCATTTGGTATCTAAACCTTAGCGAAAGAGAAAGCTGGCAATATTCATATCCTTGCTTTAGTAGGGAATTGGTTATGAGACTGCCTCCTGAAGCTGCAACCAGGATGTTAATTTAAGCTGGCTTGGATGCAAAACATGTCAAATGAGCATGAAGATGCTGGCAGAGCAGAGAAGGAGGGCTGTTATAATGCTATTGCATGATGCCAGGCAGGTATCCAGAAGGAAACTGCTGGGATAAGGGTTAGGACCAGTTTTATTTATTAGCAATCTGGACAAGCAGGTAAGCAACATAATAATTACATCGTGAGACGGGATGCAAAGAAGGCATACTAAGTGAAGACAAAGGATTGATGTGGAAGGATCTGAAGGGGTTAGAAACTAAAACCCAGCCTATTCAAACTGTAAACAAGGCTGAAGAATTGCATCTCTTAAATTAGGTCTACATATTTACAAGAAGACAGGCTTGCAAAGCAGAAGTAATAAATAAAGGACCAGTTTTATTGGGAATATTAGCTAAAAATAGTGCTGTTTCCTTATGATTCTCTGTATTGTATCCTTTTTTTAAAAGATAGTGCAGCTAATGTTGTATCCCTGGCTATTTTAATTCTTGGTCAGATGACAGCATCATTTTGACTAAAATTATTTTCCCTCTGTCATTTTCAGAGAAAGAAAGGGCTACAGCAGAGCAGGCTAAAACCAAAAATTATAAAGTAAGATGATGGGTATGGGAGGCAAGAAAATATACTCAACATACAATTCAAAACTTTTCACATTTATGCCATGTAATGCTATCGGGAACAAAAAAAAGCAAAAGAACTAGCCAAAGGCCCAGTGGTGAATTCTTCTCATTTTCCCATTATTAAAAATATTATTGTTAATCACTAATTGCAAAATTTCAAATAGAATTAATAGCTGTAGGGACTCCTAAATGAGATCAAGGAAAGATTACAGCCATTTTCTCAAACATTAAGGCCATGTTAAGTTGTTTCAGATAAAATATAAATATAATTAAAACATTAATTATAAGATAATTTCTCAAGTGTTAAGAGAACTTTCTTTTTTGTTTTATTTGCGACAAATCATTTTCATCTTATTGTTTCCTCTAGACCGTAGTAGGCAAGACAGATACATTCTGTATTACAGTAAGAATGTGATGTCCTACTGAGTGGGTAAAGATGGCCCCTTTATGACCTGTGGACTTAACTCCCAAAATTCCTGAGTCAGCCATGCTGAATTCTGGGAGTTGAAGTCCACAGGTCACAGAGGCCATCATTCTCCATCCCTGTAACCAGGTACATAAAATGGTCCACTAAGCATCCAGCAATTTTTGTTAAGGTTTGCAAACAATAAGAGATAGTAAAATGGTTGGCAGGCCATAATAAAGGACTACTGGACTTCTTTCTATTTTGGGGTGACACACATAATTCTAGGCCACCAATTATCTGCATGTTAACCATACCTGAGCTGCCTTGAAAATGGAGAGAATGTGATAAGGGAAGAAAAAACCTGTAACATTTTTAAAAATGTTAAATAAACTTTGCATGTCTACAGAGCCACAACCCCAAAATGTCTGTTTTATATATAATCAACTGTGTTGAAATAACCTAAATGGTTCTTTAGAAAATGGAGCAAGGAACAGAGAATAAACTTTTGGAAAAGTGGTGTGCAAGAGGAGAGATGAATAGAAGAGAGAGATTTACTTAGAATTCTATTTTCCGTTGAAGAAAATGTGTATATGCAGGTTTTCTTCCCAGAATAGAAGCATAGATGATAAATGATAGATAGATAGATAGATAGATAGATAGATAGATAGATAGATAGATAGATAGATAGAAAGAAAGAAAGAAAGAAAGAAAGAAAGAAAGAAACACAGATAGGTAGTTATTTAGGTAGCTAGACAGACAGATAGGGAGATGGGTAGGTAGGTAGATAGTAACACAGATATATAGGTAGGTAGATAGGTAGAAACACTGGTAGGTAGGTAGGTAGGTAGGTAGGTAGGTAGGTAGGTAGACAAACAGAAGGATAGGTA